GTGTTCTCGCCAGACGGGCAGCTAGTCGCCTCAGCATCCACCAACAGAACAGTACGGGTGTAGGAGACAGCAACAGGCCACTATCGCACCGTGCTAGAAGATCAGCCCTCACCTATCTTTCAGATCGTATTTTCGCCAGATAGCCAGACTCTCCACACGAACAAAGGGGATATCCCCCTACTATTAGATCTCATTACTATTATATCCGCCCTTCCAGCCCAAGAACTACCATATACTACAGTAAAAGGCGAATAGGTATTACGTCAAACGCAGTAGTTTCTATAGCTTCCTCCTCAGTATCAGAACTGCGTCACGACAGTATATAGGCACACAGTATGTCTAGGGTGCTATTCAGGGCGTGTAGCGTTTCTTAGTTTCTAGCAGAGCGTAGTCATTCTATTACAAGTGGATAGACGTTATATCTACACTACTAACTCTAAGCTAATTCCGACACAGTATGTCTAGGGTGCTATTCAGGGCGTGTAGCGTTTCTTAGTTTCTAGCAGAGCGTAGTCATTCTATTACAAGTGGATAGACGTTATATATATACTAACTACTCTAATTTAACTCAGACACTACTATAGGACTATACATAATCCTCTACCTACACTCCCCACTATCCTCTCCTTAAACAGGCATGCGTAGAGTCTAGTGCGGCGTTTAAGCATGTGCTCAAACATAAGCGAGTCATATTCAGCTACAGCCGCTAGTCGAGTGGCTCTATCTAAGTCTCATAACAAGGGTCTAATATCAGCGCTAATAGAATACCACTAGGCTACTTATAGTGTTTCCATACGACTTGTAGGTAGCGCGCCTTAGTAGTTGATCCTGCTCTGTAGGCCAATACACCTGTACAACAGCGCCATAACTAAGAATGCTGTAGTACTTCACTTGGGATACACTCTTGAAATGTGTTTATATAGCTTAACAAACTCTTAGCTATATGCATATAACCTCTAGCGTATCCGAGACTAGCCGAGATAGGGCTCTAGTGCATGCTAGCAACGAATTGTGGTATTGCTGGCCACACAACAACTTGTTGCTAAAAATACGCAACGCAGAGAAAGTATGACGGTCGAGGTCTCTATCCCGAGACTCGCTAGGTCTCTGGGCTAAAGTTGCGTTTATTATAGTAGGAGCATCATCGGCATGCCGGCACATAGGGTTTTCCGCCACACGTGGAGGGATAGTAGTTAACTAATTATATTCTTATATAGCCACGACAAAAGGCGGGTTTATTAAGCCTAGGCATTGGACATTGTGTGTATTATTCTTTGCGACGGGCGTTGGACCTGAATTTTTTAAGTCGCAATAGCATTACTTTTACAAGATGCGTTCATTAAACTTAGTTAATTAGCTTCTGCCCGATGATGCAAGTAGCTTATAAATTACATTCGTCTTATTTGTGCTAGTTAGTTATACATAAATCTAGAATATCTTTGGCCGCACGCGGAGGCGCGGTAGATTTAATAAGTGTATTATTCTCTGCTATCTACTATCTTAAGTTGTAACTACGTGGTGTATAGCCATTAGATTTTCTTATTAAGGCAGTGAATCCTTATTGCCATTACAGGGGCTTGTTACTTTGGCGCAGCTGAAGTCATTGCCTCTATGGCCTCGCTAGGTTGTAAAATGATGACCTAATATGGATACCCCGCATGTGCCTCCACAAGTGTCATAGCGATAGTACATCCACTATCATTAGTATGTATTCGTTGTATGCATGGGCTTTCTAGCTACTAACACTCTAAGTACTCCTATTCGTCTTAGTATATAGGGTATCTCCCTATACAATAGGAGATGTTATTTAGCAACAAACTATTCACGAGTGCCTGCAGAGTCGCGGATGACATGTAGTCATAACTAACCTTCGAATCTCTAAATGCGGCGACCTAAAAATCTCAAATGTGACCCTTATCTATAAAGGTGTCAGTAGCGGTTGCAAGCACGATTGTGTATAACTAGTCTACTAGGAAGCGATACAGAGTATGTACATACTGTGCACACTAGGTGACCGGTCTCAATATATCAAGAGGTGGCCAGCAATCAAGTAGGCAGAAGATAACTAATATTCCACCCCTGGAGTGAATCACGTGAAGAAAGCGCCTACCCGTAAATACTGAAAAGGGATCTTAAGATATACTTGCGCCTAGATCACCTGCTACTACACCATAATACTCAGGCTTACCGGTACGCCTTAGGTGCAAGGCACTGACCCTACTGTTTGCTCTACTTATGTACCCTACACCACTAGTGCAAAACGTGATGTTAGTGTTAACTAGTTACATAATTAGAATCCGCATGCTTCTTCAAGCAGCGTTACACGGTCAATAAAGCCTAGGTGGCTATATAGTTAGCCCTATACCTTCAATTTCTACCGGATCAGTTTATTGATGTATCTCTCAAGTTATTAATTCCTGTTATTCTGCTAATCACTCCAGAATTCTTACTTTAACCTTATGCTACTCGCTCTTATGAACCTGATAATATAGAGCGTTCATCTAGCGGAAAAAGTGGCTATTGGAAGCACGTCTATAAAATATCATGAAACCCATAACTGCCCAACTTGCCCGGAAAAGAGAAAGGAACCGTGAGAGTCAGCGAAGGTCGCGCCAGAGGGTCAAAGATCAGATTGATGCTCTTGAACGACAGGTTTGGGATCAAGTGTTCAAACATAGACTGTCTCATTAACAGCCTTAGAACAGAGAGCTTGAGCTAGACAACAGATCGCTGCAGAAGCAGCTGCTACATGCCCTAGAAGCTATAGAAGTGTTCGAAAAGGGTGCGAGTCTCCACCAAAACTCTATCGTTAAGCAGAAAGTGCATATCTAACCTATATAGCTCTGTGTCAATCTAAATTAAAAGCAGAAGCCTTCATAGATACCAATTTCCATACGCCACGCACTTCAAGTAATGCTCCGGTATCAAAGCACGACCTATTAACTCCAATGTCATATTTGAACCACAGCTCATCAAATATATGTGCCTTATCACCCTTAACTTACAGATATAGTTCTTTCAACACAAATGACCGTCCTAATGTAGGTAGCATGTACGAAAGTAAAGCCGAGCTGGAAAACAGCTGGGAGTACAGCTCCCTACACTTATCACCGGACATAACTGAGACAGCCGGTATCATATTTGAGGATATGGAGACGATATCATTTCCAGCACAGCAAGTTAGCGAAGGTGGTTCATTAGCGGAGTGTTTATAGTGTATTTAGCAAAAGCACAAAGCCAATGGTGTCGTCGTCATCAGGGAGCTTGATTATGTTTTCCCAACGTTCCGTCAAGTCCTCCCAACAAGCACCCGCAAGAAAATCTGAGGTAGGAACTAGTTGATAGAGTTGTTCGAAGAACTATTACAAAGTTTAGAATTTTCCACGCGCTTTTTTCCTAGCGCGATGTATATCGTGTTTAGCGCTGTAGGTACCAGTACTATCTGCCCATCTAACGAGCTTGCCGCTCATAGGCAATGTCTCATGAGTGTGTTGCTCGGTCGCTTCTTGGAGACGAGATACCAAGTCTTCTACATTACCTAATGTATGTTCTAGCTGCCCCTTTATATTTTTCAATTCCTCCAAGAAATCTACCACTTCGGTATGACTCTCCTCAGGCTTGCGCTCTATATAGTTTTTAAGCGCTACTCGATCTGTAGGGAGGATAGCCTTACTAGCGTTGGTGTGTGAGGCTGCTTCTTTGGTCTCGCGCGAGGTGAATTTGCCAGGCTGTTCCTTGCTCTTATTACCAGACTGCTTGCTTGCAGATGCCGGTTCTGCTCGATCTACAGCTGGATAAACGACATTATCTCTAACTGATAGACAGTTTTGATATCCCTAAGATAATTAATAATGATCGTTAATCGTGCAGCATCTATGCATACTTGGTACAATGTATCGTCTGGAATAGTATCTTGAGAACTCATCGCTCTCTTGGTTTCTTGAGAAGGCACAGACTGCAGGTTGGAAGAGAAGTAGTCTTGTGAGAGGGATTGAGAGCTTACTATATATCATTCGTCTTGGCTAGACTAGTTAGGTCGTCGGACGTGGTACGTAATGACATTCTAAATCGCCACAGGGGTCAATAATCCTATACAGCGCGGCGCATATTACTTGCATATGAATCAGTATCAACGCACACAGTCAGTGGGGTGAAATAGATGCAGAGTTAGCATCAGTTGCCTATTGGGACTTAGTGTCGAGGTAACAGGAGTTGTCGGTTTCTTTCTAGAACTAACCTATCTATGGTGATAGTACCATTCCATGGATTTCTATAGTAACAACGTCATTTTCGCAATAGAAATTGTTATGCTATACATCGTCAAGCAATTACCCCTAGAGATAAACAGTTTGCTCGGCTTTAGAAAGCGCGGCAGTAATAGTTTCTTCAACTAATACAGCAGCCTCTGTGCCTCATTCCTAGACACAAAACTAGAGAGGTGGTTGCATAGTTCGGGTTCAGGATACCGGTGTAGGTGATTGTGCCATTGTGAACAGTTGCGGTCATTGTCCCGTTTTTGATAGCCTGCTGTGCTGCCTTCTTTAGGTGAGACGCCTGCTTCGAGCTGAATTTGGATTCTGCCAGGTAGATGCATTGGTTAGCAGGAACGTGGAAGCGGACATGATCTTAAATCTATCTCTGCTGCATCTGTTATATATTTAACATAGTCCCTTTATTCATCGTGCTCAGCCAGTCCTGCAACCTTCTCCAATCTCCTTGAATACCTCTCAATATTAAGCTTGGTATACCCTGCGCTGCGCGAGACCAATGTCGTACCACACGTTGTCGATCGGAATCTATAGGTATAGAGAACACCCGAACCACCGCTCCCATTGGGGTTTTCTGATTTTCCGTCAGGGAAACGAAGTTAGAAACCTCCTGCACGTACAGTTGATGTCTTTCGAAGGATTGATTTATCAGTTCAAAACTCGCAGCGGTCACCCACTAGAAAGCTAGACTTGTGAAGGAAGGGTACTTTTAGGTTATATCGAACCGACAAAGTATAATCAGGTTGTAGATATCATATCAAAAGAACCAGCACCGCGGAACAATAAAGTGAGGACACCATTGCTAATTAGATATAATTCTAATTGATGTAGGATCGATGTCAAGACTGGACTCTAGATTGCGTGATTGCACTCGAAGCTGAGGAATTACTCCCTGCCGGTACCTCAGGTTGGATTGAAGGAATCGTCGGGAAGCCTTCTAAAGACGTTGCAGCAGCAGTGGGTGGGAGATGGACCGCAGCAAGAAGGTAGAATTGGGGTGACAAGGGAGATCTGGATTAGGTAAACCTCATAGTCCACTATATCGAACCAGCTCACGCTCAAGTTCTAATAGTAAGGCATAAGTGTTATCCGGTATCTTTGGAATTATCAGATCGATCATGGAAGACCACAAAGAATTACGAGCGCGCGACTTTGCTTCAAAGTATTCACGTTCAGGTATACTGAACCCTGAAACTCCTATGTCTAGGATAGCAACCACATTGAGTTGGTCATCAACGAGTATATTGTCTGGGGTAAGATCTCCATGGCAGAATACAGCGCATTTGTCCCCAAGACGCTGGATTCTTTCTATCAGGTGCGCATCATTGGCATCGAATCGTCCATAAGGCCGGGAATTTCGAAGTGCATCGATAAGCCCATTACAGTATTTTGTATGCGACCTGAATGGGCCATATTTCCGGTCTGGCATGTTTGCGGCAGGTAAATGTTAAAAGAAGACATCTCGACACGGTTTAAAGCCCATAGACCCAAAAAAGTCACCACGTAGACCCATCCAGCTTTGGACGAATCTTGAAAGTTGTGTAGTCACTCTTTCTACCTGTGCTTGGTGAAAGGTATGGAGAACGTCATGCAGCGGTGTTCTAATAACCCTAGACATAAAAATATTACCAAAGCCATCCTTTTCGTAAGCGCCGAAAACTTCTGGAACAGGCACATGGGTTGATGAGGCAATAAAACGCAAAGCTTCTGCCTCTGCGACCTTTACGTTAGGCCCTCTTTTGAGTATGCGGTCAGAGTCTTGCAGGTGCCAAATCGATTTATCAATCTTGTGCACAGCGATATTCTTAGCTTTCGTCATATCAACGACAGTAGTGAGGTCGGTGTCGAAGATAACGGGCATAGCAGGCTTTTCAGGAAAGGGGGCGCCACTGACAGGGCTATTGTTAGCACAAAGGGAAATGTAGCAGAGACAAAGATAAGCTTACTACAGAGGAGGAGGAGGAGGAGAAGGAGGTGGTGGTGGTGGACAGATTGGGGCCATGACAAAACTTGTTTGCAAGAGGCAAAGTTGGAATGTTATGGTGTTGCGGCAATCGAGCGACGCGCCACTCAGAAGGATGAACACCTAAGGGCGGGCGCGACGTGCCTAAGACGCAGAACAAGGACGACGCACAGGCCACGTTAGGCAGCAGCGTGACGCTTGGGAGAGTACACCCTATTCGATAGCAACTGCTGGCGCTTGTTTAGATTTCAAAACTCGAATACTCGAGCGCTGTTAGCAATGATTTATCTACCTACATGTCAGAGTTGGTAGGCGTGAGGCTAAAAAATGCGAAGGTGCGGGTATGGCATTTACTGAATACTGGGCATCGGTCAGGCTTGCGCTACATTCGTGATGACTCCATTCAGCCGCTGCGAGGCCAAGCCAAAGTATCACGCAAGGCTGACAAGGACGCACGATACCACTATAGCTGTTGTGTGGATTAGATGCAAACTGATATCTAACTAACTACTAGGTAAACTATAGATACTAATATGAACTCATCAGCAGCCTCGTGTAACCACAGCAGACAGCGCTTCAGCCGCCGAAGATAGGACGTTGAACACTTAGAGAATCTCTTGGAGATGCCGACTCTGAGCCAGTCTGCCACCAGCAATACTAACCCACGAGCACCTAATAAAGAGCAATAGTAGATGAAGAAGGATCGTTCTAAGATATTAAGTAAGGGCTTTGACCTAAGATAATGAGCTATATAAATAAGGGGACCAAAGAAGACATACGGGCTAAGAAGACCAAGACTGAGCATAGGAAGTGTAAAGTTAGACTAGCATTAGCAGCCCTTTCGGCTCGGCCGCCGGGCGTAAATAAATTGTGTGTGTGTGTGTTGTGTGGAATCTTGGCGGGCGGGTTTACTTCAGCCCCGCAGACCTTGGCCATGCATCCAGTCAACTCCTCATTCTCTGCTTAACATAGTTTAGAAATTATGACTGCTATCCACACAGGCTATACTGATATTAGTTCTCGTACAAAACCTTACTGCCACCGTTGCGACCGAACATTCGATACCGGTCGAGCAAGAGACCAGCATTACGATGCCTCGGCTCGTCACCACATTTGCGATGTCTGCCGGTTCGACGGCTCCTCCTATGATGAGTCAGTACAACACAATCGCAGTACGCTTCATAGGATTATGTGCGATGGTTGTGACGATGATGGGTGGTGGATACTGGATAGCCAAGCGTACAAGGACCATTTGAGGAATGATAATGTGTGTACGACATGCGAGCGCCATTTCGATAGCCTCAACAACCTGCGACATGTAGGTATCACCGTGTTTGAACGCACTACTCGTGTCCCGATTCAGTCCTCGCTCTAATAGCTAATAGCACAAGCTGGTGCACCTGAAGCCTTCCGCTGAATGCTATGGTTGCACTCGGTCCTTCACTACTTATTCCGGGATGATAATTCATCTAGAGTCTGGGACGTGTGCGTCTAGTATTGATATTCTGGACTTAAACAAGTCAGCTGCAATGTGTTATCAATGGCAGAAGTTCCTGGACGAGGAATACCGTGACGATATCCTTAGCTGTTATGATTTGGAGGAAGAGTACGATGGCGCGGTTTATCCGTTTAAGTGTCTAGAATGCGACACTACGTTTTCAAAACTTTCAGGACTCTTCCAGCATGTAGGTAGTGGGTCTTGCGAACAGAGGTTAAACGGCGGGCCGATAGCCAAGCTTGTGAAGTGGTTGTCAAACAGACATGCCTAGTAAGCAGATTTAGAAGAGCTATAGCAAGGCTATACTTTAATTAAATGACGTTGTTTTTATTGAACCAGCTACTCTCATTGAGACTATATACTACATAAAGTAGAGTGGAAAACTTACTCAGCATTGCTCCTCCTAGAGGGGCTTAGAAAGTGCTTCCACTTGGCTCAACAGTTTGGCTCATCGCATCGCTACAACCACAGTTGCCCCCAGCCACGATGTGGAATTATCAAAGTAGCAATACTGACTAGCTAGACGAAAAGAGTAAGTACTACCAAAACTCATTCCTTTGAACAATCACATATTCTTGCCGCATTGCCACACAGTAATCATTCCGAAAGTTCTGCGGAGAACATATGATAACGCCTCTAACTAGCGTATCTCTAGCTAAACCGATGTACGAATCGATGCATAGCCCCTGAATAGAGTTTCCCTCGCAACCTTTCTTCCAATGTTGCACTACCTAAAAGTTACTCTCGTCTGCCAATCTGCATGGGAATGAGTGGCGCAGTCTTCTCATCCACTCGCTTACTGGCACAATAGTTTGACGCCATATCCGATTGATATAGAAAGGGAGATAACATGATAGCTGTATAAAAGTACATGCCTGGTAACAATTAGATGACGAGATGAAGGTCAAAGGAGACTCACCATAAAAATGCCTTGTCGTAGTTTGGTGGAAGTGCTTCTACCAGCAAGTGAGAAAGTAGAGGTGAAGATCGCGCTACAAAATTGGCTAGATGCTGCAGCAGCATTTGTAAAGACGAAGGCATGCAATAATCGCATGTATTCTTCGTTTCCATCTCCGGTCTCGGATCCTGAGTTCTTGTGGATCTCTAGTTGCTTGTGTGAGAGTGCGGAAGAGAAAAGGGATGCAGCAGCAAAACGAGTTAGCAGTGCCGACTCGTAAGCAGAAGATTTAGTTTGGCCCCTACTTATATTTAGAAAACCTCAGATACGAATTGAGTTCACCTACGTAACAGCAGAAGCAATGTCCAGTATAGTCAAGACCGCCACCATATGTACCGCCCATATGCTCCAGGGAGGAGAGATGAAGATCTGAAGCATTCGGACGAGCTGAAGTTCCTGTTAGTTGGAAGCGAGCTATCAAGGTAGGCAGACTGTCTTACATTATTGCTAGTAAGAAGCTGGAGATTACACATAATGATTGCGTCAAGCCAAGAGTACGTCTCTGCTGGATGGGGTTTGGTCGCAATTGCAATGAGTCCAGTAATACCTAGGCCTACTGAACTGGTACCGACAATGATTCCTATAATTCTCTCCCAACGGTAATCGTACTCAGAGACCTGGACTTCTGCCCTGGATAGATTTCTGATATCGAGGTAAGTGAGCGTGCTGCTTAGTATAGGTCCGACTGAAAAGCAAATCGCAAGGCTGACTGATACGAAGGGTGCCATAATGACAAAAGTTGGTGCAGTACTGAATATGGGGGGCTCGCGCCTTTTGTACATGCTTTACTTCGTAAACTGGTTCCGTAGAGTGGAGCCCAGGTAGAGTTACATTGAGAAATAAGTCCAGACAGCTTCAGGCACAGCAATGGAAAACTCGATAAACTTGGAGTATTCGGCCTTATTAGCCAGGGAGATAGGACCTGGAAGTAGTTGTGATGGCTGCAGGTGCCCGCATCATCAGGAGTGTTATACCGTATATGCAGCCGCACAGCCTCCATCAAGGCTTCCAGTGGATGCTACCCTGTGCCCTGAAAGTCTATCTATTCTCTCTGTATCGTCTCCCCTAAGATTACCAGGACGTTTGAGATTTGGATTGACTGAAGTTCGTGATATTAGAGAAATTGGCAAGTTCCTAAGAGTTAGACCATGTTCAAATGTAGCAGAGTGTTTCTAGGAGCAGAGTGTTTCTAGGAGCAGGGCGTTTCTAGGAGCAGAGTGTTTCTAGGAGCAGAGTGTTTC